CTGACATGAACAGTAACCTCTGTCTATTTGTAAATATATATTATTAAATGTATATATATGGGACCTGTCAGTGGGTGGGAAATATTTGGCAGCAAGTGAAGATTTTGTTCTCAAAGTGTGTTAGAAGCAGGAAAAATGGGCGGTGTGAGAATTTGAGCTGGTGACTGGTGCTGCACAGAGGTGTATGGAATCACTTTACTTTTACTTTTACAGCCCACATACCCACTGTTACAAGGGTGCTTTCTGCAATCCTCACATCTACAATTCTTGTAGTAGTGTAATTTCTCCTGCATGCTTTTCAAAAACGTTAAGTAAAAATTGATTGTTTGTTGGTTGAATCGCTCACTATTCTCTTTATACTTTATGCTGTCCACAGTGATATTCAGTTCATTTACATAAGTAGCAATACTGTAATCTAATGATATGCTTCCCCCACTCTGTGAGTGTTATAATTGTATTATTATCACAGTTTGAATTGAGGTTGTGGAGCAAATTCTAACTATTTATATAGTGTTGGGAATATATAACACTTTATATAGATATTTCTTTCAATATATTTACATATATTTTGTGTGTACAATCTCAAATATGTTAAATGAATATAGTTTTGGTTCCCTCTGAACTGTAGTGAAATTTAAGTATAACCTTAATTGTAAATACTCAAGTGAAGCACAGTTATCTTAAAATTGTACTTAAAGGTCCAGTGTGTAACATGTAGGAGCATCTATTAACATAATTGGAGTATTCATAACTATGTTTTTATTATAATCACCAGGATACATCATGTTTTTGTTACCTTAGAATGAGCTTTTTGTATCTACAGATGCCGCAGGTCACCTTACATGGAGTCTGCCATGTTGAACAGGCCTGTTTCTACAGTAGCCCAAAAGGACAAACAAAGCATTGGCTCCAGCTCGGAGCTGTTGCGTTTTTTGAGCATCTAAACGCTTGTTTAGGTTTAGGATTAAAGTGTGAATTGAATCCCAAAACTGAATTACCTGTTCACTGCTCTTTAACCCTTTAAGCGCCAAAGTCGCAAAAATTGTGACAGGACGCGGTACTGAATCAAACTTACCCTCTGTCCCATCATTCTCTGGGGCTTGCTCTTCCCTCTGCTTCTGGTTTTGAACTTCACGTATCCATAATGGCATAACGGGCACCAGTCAGCTTATAAATGCCATTTCTTCTCCTCTTGAGTACAAGCCAGAACTATCAAAAGCTTCCTGGAACATTTGAATTATATTTGAGCCTTAAGTTGTATAAGAATGTATGCGAGTTTTTTAACAAGCAGTCTGTTTCACTTACATCAGGCTAGCCATCAGCTCATCTGCATCTTTTTTTCAATGGAAGCTACAGTTGTCTCTCCTTGCGGGGAGGATGAAGGGCGTAGTCAAAGGGGGTTGTTTGGGTGATGAGCAGCATTTTCTGGACAAATGAAAAATGGTTTTTTTTTAACTTTGTTTGCACATAAATTTATGGGTGACATTTTTTTTATGGGGGTCAGGGATATTATTTCGGTTGTGTTGTGTATGGTTTTCATCCAGCACTCACCCAGGCAGTTCTGGTGGTTCCGCTGCGGACAGAAATCTGGTAGAAGATGTGATAATTCTCTCTCAGCCTTTGGAGCTGATAGGTGGCACACGAGGATTTCTCTAGCAGATCTGGGGACAACATACAACATATTGGGTTATTAAAGTTTATTCTTGATCTATGAGAAGACTTTCCTAAATTTTATTGCATTTATTGTGTACTTACAAGTTGCAATATCAGCTTGAGGACAATTTGCCACTGACTCAA